GGTTGGAAAAGTGGGGGTCGTCTTGTACATGGGGGCATCTTATTGTCAGAAAAATACGGTACATGTAGGCCTCAGTCCTTTTTTTTTTTTTTTTTTGCAGTTTTTCACTGAAATTTTTGTCATGGATGCCAAGAAAGTTAGTTCGTGTGCCTTCTTTTTTACCCCATTTGTCCTCCTTTCCAATGGTTTTGTCCTCCTTGCCTGTTCAGATATCTGGTAATCCTCCTTACATTAGGGTTTGAAAACTAAGCAGCAGTGTGCTCTGAATTCTACAGGGGGAATGCTGTATCACATATCTTTTAAAAAGTATTATTTATACATACAATTTCTAAAACTTTTTCAGCTTAATTAACTTGTCATTATTCATTACTCCTAAGATGGAGCTATTTATTTAAAGATGTCTCAATTGATTTTTTTAATCTATTTCTGTGAGATATTTAACTTTTAGGATGAAAAAGTCTTTTACTTTTGATGTGTCAGGATATTCACTTATTCAACAAAAAATTCAATCAGCTTTAACATGTACGTGTTATGATTTGCAAACTTCTTAACTTTCTATGGATGTAACACCTGATGCTGATGGAAACTTTGGGTTTTTTTTAAAATAGATAATAGCAATGCAGGAGGATTTTCTTAAAGCTTGTAGTTGGGAAACAAAGAGTTAAATCTTCCCACAGTGTGCACTACAGCCCCACTGGAAACTGACACCCACACACCTATACAAAATCTGACGTATCATATAGTAACTTGAGCCTGAAATTCATAAATCTAGGGACTATTTCAGCTTTATTATATACGTTGTTCTTTATTTATTTGATTGTTGTATTAGGGTTTGATTGTTTGTATTAGGGTTTTAAAAGAGATTATGCCTCTAGTCGCACTGCATCACATATTATATCTGTTGTCTCTTGAAGAATGTAGATCTTCAACCACAACAAGCAACTTGTTCAGTGATGCTTAAGTAAACATCATGGAGGATAGACAGCGAATTAAATTTCTATCTGCTTCTGCATGAAACTCAAAATCCAACTTTCATATATAGAGATTCTCATCAATGTTTTATTCTAATGATCATGTCTGATGATTTGCCAGTTTGGTGTGGTGGTTAAGGCCTCAGGCTAGAAACCAAGAGACTGGGAGCTGTTGTCCTGCACGAAGCCATCTGGGTGATTTTGGGCCCATTGCTCTCTCTCAGCCCTAGGAAGGAGGCAATAGTAAACCACTTCTGAAATTTTGCCAAGAAAATGGCAGGGACTAGTCCAGGCAGTTGCCTGGAGTCCAGACTATGTCAAAGTCCAAATCCCAATTCAGAAGAATTCTCATGAAACCAGGCCCGGTTCAGATAAATGCTCCTTTATTAGCTGGTACATGCAGCTTGAAACAAAGCATTGCTAAAACTAAACCCTGGGTGAACTTCCCTCTATTTATCCCCCCTCCCCTTGTTGCCCTGGCACCTCAATTCCTTTTCATCTGGTGGTGACATCTTTCCTTCCTCCCACAGATACATAGTTCCTTCCTGGCCATCAGGTACCCACTGGCCTTGCCTGCAATCAGGTCCAGCCTCATTACCCATACAGTATAAGATTAACCCCCTCACCATCTCCCAGTACTACTCCAATTACAACCATTAACTACTAGCCCCCCTCCCTAGTCACAATTGGCAGAAGCAAATCAATCAAACTCCCATTAACTGCTATGCTTTGTAAATTAACAATTGTTGGTTGATGCAGGTTCTGACAGACTGACTCAAAGGTACAAAATAAACAAACATGTCTGATGAAATAACTGTGCTAGTGGGTTCATTAACTGAGATTTCATTCCCTGTTTTCCAGAGTCGAGCAGATGTTTATCTGGGAATCTTTCCTGACTTTTCATCTGTAAAAGCAGTAACTCACTGGGGTCAGGTAGGGTTCTTTATTCATTGTCAAATTCAGGAGTTTAATTTTTAATCTTTTAATCGAGTATTCTATAAGTAAGTATAATTCTTCATATTTGTGTGACCACATTTCTAGGTAAAAGGTAATTCTGAAAGCATGATTAATTTATGGCAGGAAACCATTAGCATCTTTGATCATCAAGGTCAATTATTGTTTAGTGTGAGGAATAAACCACCACAAGCGGAAGAACTCAAGCCATTGTTTACAGTGAAGTCCAACATTTGATAAGGAGAAACTTTCTACTAGTCCTAGTCTATTTCTGACTGTATTTCTTTCTTTCTTTTTTTTAAATTCAAATAGCACATGAATCCTTTCTCTCTTTTTAGGTTACCAATTCACACAAATTTAGGTATTTTGACTATGGGTGTAAGAATGAAGTCATTTACAATATGGTAAGGAAAAAAATGGAAGAATTCACAAATATTAAAAAGTAATGTCAGGATCTTGCTTAAACTTCAGTGAAAACAATGCTAATTTCTTTATATCTGAAAGAAACTTGATCCAATGAGCCTATTTCTGATCTTTGCCTCACAGACCACACCACCATTTTACATTATAGAAGAGATGTTTGTGCCAACAGCAATGTGGAGTGGTAGAAATGATATTATGGAAGATGTAAGCGATATTCAGCTCTTGCTCCCTCGAATCCCTCATTTAGCTTTCTATAACCATATTCCTGACTGGCAACATCTGGATTTTATCTTTGGCCTTGATGCTCCAGAGCGCCTCTATCCTGATATCCTTCATCTGATGGAGAAGTATAAATAAGGATGTGCATATCATTATTTATCCTAATACAAGTGTATATATTCTGCATTAATGGGGAACCCAGCAATATGTCTATCATACTGATGCTTTTTAAAAAAAATAAATAAAACTGTTCCTATTTTGTATATGATTGTTTTATTAATAATGTTTTTTTCATCAAGTTATCCATCCTCCTTCTCCAGAATCCTACTGATCTTTTAAAACAAGATTGATTGACTGATTGATTGATTGATTGATTGATTGATTGATTGATTGATTGATTGATTGATTGATTGATTGATTGATTGATTGATTGATTGATTGATTGATTGATTGATTGATTGATTGATTGATTGATTGATTGATTGATTGATTGATTGATTGATTGATTGATTGATTGATTGATTGATTGATTGATTGATTGATTGATTGATTGATTGATTGATTGATTGATTGATTGATTGATTCATGTCAATTTATATGACTGCCCATCTCATCATGATGACTCTGGGTGGCTAACAGTGGTTAAAATCCAACATCATAATCACCAGCACAATAAGTACATAACCAATAATTTACATTGGTTATTTTCCAATATTGAGATTGGTCGAGGGATGCTGCCTGGGTCTTTGGCTCTCGCTTCTCTGCCTGTGAAGTCCTATTGTGAGTTATGAAGGTGAAACAAGATGCTTGCAACGGTAGCTTGAAAGCATGGCTAGGAAGGTAGGAAGGGATTCAGTTGGGTTGAAGCTACAAAGCTAATGCTGTTAGGGATTTGTGCAATTTTCCCAACGTAGGCACTTCCAGGCACTCAGACATCACCTTAATGAATCAACCTTCAGCTTTATTATGTGATGCTTGTAATGTAATTTGCCACTGGAAAAGACAACCCAACGGGTTGAACTTCCTCACAGGAGTAATATGCTACAAAGGTCAGATAGTCAGACTAACACAGCTGTCTTAGCACAATCACACCACCACAATACACTGAGGCAATCCTTTAGCTTTCACCAGACCAGCTTATTATAGCTTATTGTTCACTGAAAGCCTTTGCTAGGGCTGCTAATTCCCTAATGCAATTAGTCATCAAAGAGACTCATAACTACTTGTCCTATTAACAGCAGCTTAATATTATAGAATTCAGCAAGCCTCATAAACAGATTGAAAAATACAACAAAGAGAGCAAAATGGCAAATGTAATGTAAATTTGGAAAATCTTAACACGACTGCTCTTTTAAGTCACAAGAAGTATGTTTGTTTGTTTTTTTTAAATATCTGAACTCATTGATTTTCCAAAATTGGATATTTCAATTCTTCCTTCTATAGTTCAAATATATATTTCATACTAACTTCCATTTCACTTTTTAATACCTTATAAAACTGAATTGTTGGTTTTGCTTCAAGCACAGTATCTCTTCAAAGAAACTAAAATTGCAGGTATCTCGGAGGTTGCTAAATCCTGTTTAGTTAATACATGTTTCAGTTGTATATGTTGCCAAGCATATATTGAAGGCAAGTTAATCTCACAAGACAATCTCTCAGAATCTTTAAAGCAACTTTTAAAAATTGGCTGGTTTAAAGTATTAATCCCTTGCTTAGCCCAAGGATTCCAAGAGAACATCTTCTCCATTATTTTCAGATTTGAATTATACCACAATGTCAACTTCTCATGTGATTTGGGATCACACTGTACCAAATATTACCAAATATGTCTAGCACCTTTCAAAGCAGGAAATGAAGATCCTGATTTAATATACCGAGACCCTAATGCATGCCAAGATTTCAAATGTGTTACATGCCTGCTTTCCAAATAGGCCCTGGAGGAAAATATTCATAATAAGTCTCATTCCATAAAAATATAGATGTTAAGACAAAAGCCCAATGATACAGTTGAAAATCTGGCAAGTTAAAGCCACCATCTTCAAAAGGTACCTAATGTAGCCAAATATATTCTAGGGACCCAAGAAGAATGTTAAATTTACTCTGAATATTAGACTCAGAGAAAATTGGTACAACATGTTTTATCATTAATATATTACTCTAATCTTGATTCCAATAGAAGAGAATATGTGTAGCTCAGGGTTGAACTGTGGAGTCCTTGGGGTTCTCTGAGCTTGGTTGTTTTCTTGCAAACGTTTCATTACCCGGCTAGGTAACCTCTTCAGTGCACTGAAGCCGGGTAATGAAATGTTTGCAAGAAAACAACCAAGCTCAGAGAACCCCAAGGACTGTAATCTTGATTGCTAAAATGGAGAATTCATCATTCTTTAAGAATTGCAGGAAATGTAAGAAGCAAGTTGAGTCATTTTTTTCATATTTGATACAAATGTTATAAACATTTTTGGAAAGTGATTCATCCTACAATGAAACAAATTTTAGAAGTGGAATTCCAATTTCAACCTGCAACATTTTATTAGACTTTATTAAACCATACATCCTTTCAAAATATACTGAATTAGCTTTGTATATGTTAACTACTGTGAAGATATTATAGTATATGCTTCTTACTGGAAAGTTTGCTTGATTCTATCCTTCCATTGGAAGAATGGTTAATCAAGTAGAACTTTGCTTCAATATCCAGAATATTTCATTATCTTCAAAGGAAATCTGATATAGAATTCATTTCTAACTAGAAACCATTCCTGGATTATAACTAATATATTTGTACCTCATGCAAAATTTGGTTTTCTTCTGTGTTTAGAATCTATTTTTTAACTTCACGAGTTATTCAGATTAGAATAGAATCTCAGTATTGATTCAATTTATTATACCTTATATTTTCAGTTGATGATTTATACTGAGTGGACCATGTTTCTGAAATTTATTCTTAGTCCAAAGCTTAATAGTGATTCTTAGTCTTTTAAAGTGATATAATATATTCTATCCATTTATAATGATATATTGGAAAAGTGTAACCTCCATGATAGTTTGGATCCCTTATTTGCTTATTTGTATTTTACTCTCTTATTCTTTTTACTTGTCTTTTATTTATGTTTGTTTATATTCTTTCTCTAAAATGTCTACTAAAAAAATTCAGAAGCTGAAAGAAAGGAAGGAAGAGAGGGAAGAAAGAGGGAGGGAGGGAAGGAAGGAAGGAAGAAAGGAAGGAAGGAAAATATTCTAAGAACTTAGAGACTTTAGCCTGCCATAAAAATTCATTAAGTCATCTATCTGTATGAAGTATCTAATGGGAATTAACATTGGATTCCTTCTTAAAATATGCATAAATATTTTTAAATAATTTTTATTAAAAGATTTTACAAAGATAATACGAAATACATTCAAAGAAAAATATATGGGAAAGTAAGTGTGAAAAAGAAAAAAAAGGAAAGGAAAAAACAGGGAGAAAAGAAGATAGAAAAAAGAAAATTTTAAAAAAGCAGAAAGCATATATAAACAAATGGCTTCTGATATCCCTCTTGGCAATTATACATATAATTCTAATCAAACCAGGTACATAAATCTTGATGTAATATTCATTTTAATAACATTAATCTTGCCTCAGATACTTAATGGGAGTTTTGACCATCAATTAAATCCACTGAAATTACACCTATACTTTTAGACATATTTAACTCAATGTAGTGTAGAATACAGAGAGGTGAAACTGTTGCCACCACAGGAGGAGGAAGAGGAGAAGGAGGACACACATCAGGTTTGGATGTCATCAACATACACTGGAATGGGCAGGAGCCAGCAATTTGGTTTCCTTCTTCACCTGCTCACCCCTTTTCATCGATACCTCTCATTCTTCTTTCGTTTCCCTAGCATGAGTAGGTTGTAGTGGAGGCTGAGTAATCACCTCTTGTTAGTCCTAGGAGCTAGAGGGCATGATTAGGCAAGAGTTATGCCAATAAAGAAATAAAGAGTTTGACTACCCTGTTGCTGACAACAGCAGCAGCAGCAACAATAATACCATCTAGCCTTGCTTTGATTTCAAATACACAACTACAGATTGAAAAAATAAAAATAAAAAACCCAACTCCATTCCTAAAACATGCTGACATCATGACTGGAAAGACACAGATGTACCATGTAGAACTGACTTAAGATCCACCTCTAACTTTGGATTTTCTACAGCATTCTTAAACTGCTACCTGATTACTACATTTCATGCCTTATAAGTGTCACACACAGTTTTGCCTTCATAAAGATCAAGTTAGTAAATATTATCTTACTAAAGATTGTATCAGTCCAGCTACTTTGGTAGCAACTTTTCATACTACTTACCTTCTTCCTTTGAATATAATTGCTGAAGCTGTTTGGTATACTTCCAAACTGAGGGCAACTGCATGTAATTTAAATATTTATGCTTCATTTATGACAGTTTTCTTGAACTACCACTATATTTATCATCCAATACTAATACTTAAACACCTACATTCTTTGCAAGCACTACACTTAAAATGAACGTCAGGGTGTGAATGAAATAAATCAAGAATGTAACTTGCTTTTGTGGTTTCTTCATCCATCCAGCTTCTAGATGGAACACTGGGAATTGAAAGACTGACCATTATTTTCATACATATGTATCCTTTTTATTGTAACAAACTTCAAAACCAAAGCAGAAAGTTATATTCTACTACCTCTAGTAGTGAAAAAAATGTTTTAGATTACAAGTTCAGGACTGATGTGAATATTCTATCACCCCCTCTCTCTCCTTTGTTAGGAAAGTGTTGGTTTCCTCACTATTTTAAGAAATTAACCTATTCTCCTTTGTTTGTCTCACCTTTAATGGCAAACTTATTACCTAATTAATTATTCTTGTGAACTCCATAAATTGTCTCAGGGGATCTCTCTGTGAAATATATTACTGTTTTCCCATCTGTGAAACAAGGCTAATGTAAATATCTGTTTTAGCTGGGTCCTTCCTAATCATATTAAAAAATAGAAGTGATCATCAAGCCATCATTATATCATCCTGTCTCTGGAGGGAGAGAAAGAGAGGAACCACATCCACACAGCTGCTTTACATCCCCTCCTCTCCTGGAGCCAGCAAGAAATCATGCAGCTTTAAATCT